TCATTTTTAAACACAGCGGTTAGGAGATGACACGTTTCCGCTTGTTGTTTTGCATCGAACGTATGGAATTGAACTGCCATGGTGAAGAAAGAGTTGGGAAGGACTAGATCCTCCTCTGTAAAACGGACTGCACGAAAGGTTCGAATCATACTCTTGGGTGCGCGCTGCATAATAGTCTTTTGTAAGGCTTTTGCTGAAAGGGTACAACGTATGGCTTGTATGGAAGAAATGGTGTTATTTTTGTCGATTTTCTCCTTTCGAAGGGAAATCTCATTAAAGCAATCAAGTTGAAACCTGCATGCAGGTCCAACAGTACTTGTACTGCAGTTAGACGGCTTCAATAAAGGCCGAATAGAGAAAACAGAATGAAAACGACACACGAGCAAAGTAGCCCAATTTTTTGCAGAGGAAACACATTGATGGTAATGCTGGACAGATTGCATAATCGGCTCTGTTTTTTACTTCCACAGCGGAAACACGTACGATTGTTCATAGTATTGCTGTCACGGTGGCACACGTTTATCTGGGATACAGTAGTCTGAGAAACAGAACGGAAAATTTGCCCTTTTAAATCCCATTTAGCTTTCCTATTCGCTGTCTCTCCATACATATCGGATACACAGTGATACACGTAACAGCATGATGAACAACAGTCTGACTAAACACTGTTTCAGCCAGACACGCCAACACGTTCATAATGAGAAGTCACTTGATGTGGTGTGATGGTGTGTACCTCTATGCTCCAACCAGTAACACAGGATATCTTTTGTTAGCACGAAGATCAAACTATGCCTGGAAGGTGGAAGGGTAGCCAGACAAAGTCCAGTCTCCTGGTCCTCCATGTTCAGGATTCGACTCGAGTTGACATCTCGGTAGGTGAAAAAATTGATGAAGGACTAATCGATCTAAGGGGATAGGCCACCACTTCAGCTTACTCGCAGCAGTGTGGTCAGGTTCCCGTCAGAACTAAAGGATAAGCAAACTAATCGTTCCCCGGCCTAGTGATCGGACTCTAGCGGTAACCGTTCATAACGCTGCAATGGACATAAACTGACCCAAATGCCATGGTGCATCGACAATGCGTGACTATACGGATATGGAAAAGACTGAATCACCACTAGCCGTGATTTACGGAATGAATGTGTGTGCGACAAACTGCCTTGTAATCATGCTAAGAAGAGTCATGCGGTGAAAAATTGTTTCACACGGTTATATGCATTGGCTGGGTTTAAGCTTATTATACAAACGTAATGGCGAATGAATGTCGGTGCGTGCGTGTTTACAAGATCACGTGACCTTTTCCCACTGAAATCAACAAACACGCCATTAATATTGGGTCATCGAACTCGATATGCTCCTTACCAGTTTGGTCACAGAAATCTGTTACCTAGTGATTAAGTCGGATCCAATAGGAAACCCGTCCATCGAACAATGCAGCAAATTGTCCAGCAGAAACCGGACGCTAAGTGTGCACAGCAGAAGCGACTAATTTAGGCTTATGAATGGGATACCAGCAAGTTGTTTAGCAAGAAATATTTAGTGACATGTATGTGGAATGAATAGAATTAAATACGTGCAGAATAATCACGTACTTTTTCGTACTGTTTTGCCAGAAGATAGAATTTCCCGGCCAAGTACCAATTTTTCTCATTCTCAAAGTAGCACGCAATGCTTTGATATTCAGAGACACTGGCATCGGAGCCTTGGGATTGACCCCAAATAGAATGTGCAAAGCAGATCGGAAAGAGGAAAAACAGAACCTGAATTAGAGTTGAAGGCCAACAATCAATAGTAAATACTGATCTGAGCTCGAGCAAAAATACAAATAAAATAGAAGCTCACCGACTTGAGGATTTTTCACAAAATCAGTTTTTATTTCGTAACTTGGTATCTTCTGACATTCAGCAAACTTTATTCATAACAGAACAATGACACGTAAGAATACAAGGGGACTGTGTCGTAACCTATTGCATCTACAATCCTAAAAGGCCCTCGGTATAGGAAGATTGCGAGAGGCGAGCATAGTCCAGATGGACCGAGTTTGGGTTCATTGTTGCATATTTTACCAAGTGTCCTCCTTTAGAGTGTAAATCGGGAAGCAGAAATAAACGTTCTACTGCGCCTCAAATCAAAACAGGTCCAATGGGTCGTTGCTATGGTTACTAAGGAAACAAATAGACAATTAAGGGGTAATGACTAATTTTAAGCGACTTAAGAGTTTCTTGAATAATGCGATGACGGTATCAATGGGTTTATACGATAAGCTAGTATTCGAGCGACCATAAAACGAAAAACGTCATGGACTGATATGTCACATGACCCGGGGTTAAGTATATGTTCGTTTGATGACACGCCAAATTCCATTAACCGTTAAGGGACAAAAGCTATCGTACGGAACAAGGTTCAATTATGCGTCTAAACCGACTATTTGGAACTTTCAAACTGGCAATCTACCCTAAGCGTTTGGTTTCAATGGACGATTAACAGATTATCAGCCAGTTTTACAATACTTTCACAGTAGAGCTCTTGAGTTCATTTCGGAAGGAGAAAAGTAAAATCCCTAAAAGTTACCATAAATACACAGAGTACTTAGCCAGAAACGCGTCATATCTCAACCCCTAGGAATCCAGGTGTATTCGACAACCAGGTCAGCCCCAATTATCATGGTGACTAGGCGGCTGGTAACTGTGCTCAATGTTCTTCTAATCTCGCCAGAGGTAACTGAATAACAAATATAATAGTGCTCAATTGTTCTTTGGCTTTGGTTATTAGATTGAAAAAGTTTCGGTGTCAGATAACATTCCACCAACAATAAGTGCTGGAATACTTTCGCACTGCGCCACAATGCTCTGTTTAAGTTCCTCGATAGTTTTCGGTTTTTGGGAATGAACCGTTCGCTTCAGATATCCCCACAGTTATGACAGTTATGAGCTAGTCAGAACACGTGGCTAAGTTTCAGGAGTCCAATCTCATTGACCGGGAAGAATGATTCAAGTGATTTAGNACAAGCGTGAGATTCAATCACACTGAAAAATCCAGCACGAGTGGATGATGACATGCTGTCTGACATCGGAATGTTTGTTTTCCATCTGAAAAAGCTCGAGGAACACCAATAACATCATATGATATTCTGCCATAGCTGTCAAAATCACCGAGATCCTGAATCTTGACATGTAAAAATAGAGTTTGGTCGGTAGTCTAAACCGTTGCATCCTTGCCCACGGGACACGTGGCACTGTCATGTCCAAACAGTCAATTTCACAGAAATTCGATACTTTATGGTGGCTTAAGAAGATTTCACTGAACACTAACCTATAGCATATGAAATAGTAATAGCGCGCACACACACCGCATTTTTTGTGATTCCTCTCGAAAGCGTGTATGCGGGGTCGTGAAATTTGTGGAGGGTATGAACCGTTACATCAGTACATTGTGCGCATAAACAGATTGACGATTTTACTTGACCAGATCGATTTCAGTTGCCTGAAGTTTGCAAAATGCTTCCGTAGCGAACAGATACAGATGGAGAGTGCTCGCCACTGCTCAATAGTTGGGCTTGATGAGTCATGCATACGCAACCCGTGTCTGGAGCTATGGTCCGAGATATTTCGTTGAATGAATTTCATATCACCGGTGACTTATGAACAAAGATCATACAGTCCGTGTGATCAAATTGTGGATTTGAACTTTTCATCAAAGAAAACGGGATAATGCTGCACTGTCAAAGACCAGCTAATTTGCTACAATGACAAATGGAACTAAAGTACTTTTGAAAGCAAGATTGTCGAAAAGTTTAATGATAAAAGTTATCAGTAGTGGATCATGGAATCCCAACTACTTGCAGCAGTTAGGTCAGTCCTGCTCTATGGTGCAGAAATTTGGCCATTACGGGAGCAAGATAAAAATAGATTGCCAGTTTTCGAACACCACTGTCTACGCAGCATTACATGAGTCTGAAGGGAAACCAGACAAGCAATGTTGAAGGTGCTGAGATTTACGTAATCGCGGTCGTCCACTGGAACAAGTGGTGGGGATTAGCTACAGGGGTTGGGACCGGTTGCGCATGTCACCAAATAGCTTGTCACAGCGCATGATGTTTACCGAGGCAGGTAGTGTGTGGAAAATGCCAAAGGTGGTCAAAAAAGGGCATGAAAATCCTAAAGAGGACACTGGGTCGCATAGATTTCACCTCTTCATTTGAAAAAACTTTAACCTCGGAACTAGTGTTCTCAAACTATAGGACCACATGCGGGTTGATTTTGATCGGTCCTCCTTATGGGGAAAAGAGGGACTTTTGGGAAAAGAACGTAATACAATGAATGCTAGAAATGAGGAGCAATGGGGTCATTTTATGGGGTATGCGATCTTTGCAGGATAGAGACGGAACTACCAACCGATGACATCCGCGTAGAGCTCCATCTTTTTGTGCTTTCTGGCCAACTCGAACGCGGCATCCAAACACTTGGACATCACGAGAAATCGGATAGCGGATGCGTGATCATTGATTCGTGTGAAGTATTGTGCAATCATCTTGGCCCCTTCGATACTCTTCGTTTCGTGTACTACACGCACGGCTTCTTCTGGATTGCTCAATCTGTCTAATTGTAAACTGAAGTAAGAGAACAAAGAAAACACGATCGGAGATCAATCGAATTAACTGACACAGGGTTTTTTGGAAGACTAGAAGAAAATGTGCCCTGGCTCCTCTAAAGAGCTGATAAATATCCGGTAAGACTTGAAGCATTATTGTGATACGGGGTATCCGAATCTATGGTAATACGGTCATTGGAAAACTGTCACGATAGTGGTAAACGAGGAGAAATCATGAGAGTACGCCTCCAGGGCAATAATTTCTGACTAAGTGGCAATTGGTTGGAAGTCCACCGTCGGTCGACAGACAATCGATCAGCGAGGAAAGGAGTTGACTCAAGAAACAAAAATACAAAACAATCACAGCATCACAAGCGAATTCGTTCTGGTCAATCGGACACAGTGCATCAATTACGGCAATCATCCTTGTCTCTAATCTCCCTGACATCGAACGTGTACCCACTTGCACTCTATCCATTTATCGGTCGCGTCAACGAGAATCACCTCACCCTTTCTCGGAAAGAACATGCAAGCCAAAAATTCAGAAAAAGAACCCAGCCCAAACTGTTGGTAAGCAGCGACAGAGCGAGAGTGAGAGGAAACCAACATCAAAGAATGAGCGCCATCTGGGGCATTCACACAGCAACCGAAAGGACACTAGGAAAGTGTACTTATATATCCATAGTTATCACCGTTGGGATGCAATTTGTTCAACAGAGGTGAAAGCGCGTTCCCCAATTGAAGTCAATTTCGTCTCAGACAAAATTACAACTGAATCGGATGCTCTTCATTTCATTCGAAAACTGTTGCCGATAGTAATAGTAGTAGATGCCACGGTGACCATGGTGACCTCTTGTTTACCAACAATCCATATATCTCAGGGATAAGCTTACTCGTAAAACGATGGGCCTAACCGATCACCACCTGTTCCAGTTAAGCTTAAGTGTGTGCGCGCGCCAAACCAATGGAGTGTGGTCTTTTACTGGTTCGGTAACGACTGTGGCGGAATCGGTAATGCAAGGATAAGGAAAGAGATGTCTGTATATGATCACGTCTAAAACCCATCGAGTCACCATTGCGATCGATCGACGTTCACAACTGCCTTGAAAATGAACTATCAACCATTAAATAGCAATACTGATAACAAAAATTATAATACGCATAAGCATCCGAATAAGGCAGGAAGCGTGACCAATTATTCTGTCAGAAACAAGACGATGAAGAAGGAAGTAGTGCATCCATGCAAAAGTCCAACAACCATTTCTCGACCGGCACAGACGCGTTCATTCACAGAGCACAGAATGAGAGCATACCGAACCACTGAATCCCAGTCATGTGCAGCCTCGTAAGCGACCACAGCTTCCCGGTAAGCACCATCAGCCTCACGTGCTTTAGCGTACTGCAGATGTAATCGAGGCGCGTTGACCACACGAGTGAGTAGCAAATCACCGGCTTTCTTGTAGTTTTTACAACGCAAATAGACAGAGACCGCGGCTTCATAACAACCGGCCAGTTCGTACAGTGCAGCAGCTTCTTGCCATTGCTTTCAGAGAGTGAATGAAAAAAGCAGATGAGAAGTCAGACAGGTGAGGATTACACACGCTTTCCACACGCAAATTCCATTCAAACAGATAAGCATATTCGTCAAGCAGCATCAAACAGTCACACCACTGAAAGGCCGTGGAAGCACACCGTACAGCTTTTTCATCTCCGACAGAAATCCCTAGGAATGTACATCCATCGATTCCACGGGCATTCGAACCCGGACATGAAGGGTTGCTTATTCGATTCACTAACCATCTGAGCTATCCGGTTGACTCTCAGCAGCTTATTATAGATACTACCTACCTAAACTCATCTTGGGACTGACAGTAACAAAGAAATCACGGTACGATATTCACAAAAATGGAATAGGCTCGTGGCGTGTTTGCGGTCGGCATACTATCCGGGGTACCCGCGTCGGATAATTGTCTTGGGTATTCGCAACCACAGCCTTCGACTAAGCAAAGCCTCATCCGAGTGATGTCCACGGTGGCGTGACGTACACATCCAGAATGCCAAACATGNNNNGGTCAGGATGTCCTAAGGTCACTTTGTTGGAAGTTTGGAATCACGGTTTTCCAACTCCCTTGAAGAGAATTCCAGGTCGTCCGCGAGATTCTCTCCCTCTGTGTGGGTCTTTTGTATGACGAAAGTTATATGAGTGGGTGAATACTAATTATAACGTTTCTGTCAGAACGTAACTAAACTCAAAAAGCGTATAATTAATGGGTACTTTAACTAAATAGCTAAACCTTGGGAAAAGACTGCAGGTCAGTCTGCTTTGATGAACTGATGTGTGTTACTTCATTAACTGCTAGAAGGAGTGTGTTCGGCAACAAAACCACACCAGATGAACAAAAAAGAAAAATGGGCTAAATCTATTGCGATTTTGATGCATATCTTGGGACGGACTAAGGTGAGGATGCATCATACTGACCTACCTTTGACTGTTCCAAAATGTCCGCACATTCTTTTTGCAGGGAAGGATTGCAGCTATCTTTAGCTAATTGAACTCCTCTGAAAATTAGAAGAAAAAAACGGAATGGATTAAGCCTAGCTTGTAAAAATGGATGTTGTTTTGTGCCGTGTTTAAAGAAAAAAACAGGCAGTCTGATCAGCTGTAAGGTATTCCAGTGTATTTTATGCTCGCATCGTAAGCGCGAAGTGTCGGCTCGATTCTCAGTTGGATCGATGGATTCCCGATTGTAGATAATACCCCAGATGAACTGACTGGTTATCATTGAAGTCCACACCTGAACAAATATGAATTGGTAATTCCGCTTAATCCCACTACTAGCTGGTTGGCACCGTGGTGACACACAACGGACACATGCAGTTCGGTCGATATGCACAACTAATGAACTCGGATGCGAAGGGTTATCCGTTCTAATTAAAATAAAAAAGAGTTATAATCAGGACTGCGCTGATTTTACTAGGTTTTGTGCTGAATGAATGAAGCTCCATATTGAAATTAATTCATTTACTAATCGGCCTGAGACGGAGTTATAATACTACGGATCAATGAGAATCAGACGTGGGAGGGCGTAATATTTTTACTATTCACAGATTGGCAAAAAACAAGGCTTCCGTGTGCATGCCGAAAACTCAATTGCGATTCGTTCACCTAGAGAGAGATATAGGCTTCCAAGCAGCAAAGTTGTCCAGCTTCACTATTGGTTCCATATTGATGCGGAGGTGGTTGGACCAGCCCAACGTTAAGCTTCACGGTGGCGTGGATTAAGCTCATTTTGCTGTGGCTCGTACGAGAAAATCTATCTCCTATCCCGCACAGATCGGACCTATCTATGCCAGATCCCATCAGTGTCGTCTCTCGACTCATCGAAACACGTTCCTGTTTTGGAGTATTTAGAAGTTAACAACTCCAAGGCGAAACCTTGGTATTTATCTTTAGGGTGACTGAACGAACATCTGGTGAGCAAAGCAGAAAATCGAGAAAAATTTCACTTTTCCGGAAATCTCTCACACCGCGGAATGGTCGTCTCATTCAGCATGTTGAAGTTTAAGTTTAAACAACCAGCAAGCATGCATTTCCGTGTGTCGCTTTTGGTTGCTGTCTTTGGCTGCTCATTTGGGTGAACAATAGGGGGAAAACAGGAAGGTTGAAAGTAGGATCGAAGAGAGAATTGAAAAGTTCAGTGGAGTAATGAAGCAGAGAAATTGAGAAGATGCACTGACGTCACTGTTTACGACACCCAGCCATATCACTCAGTGTCTCTAACCCTCGGTTACGACCATCCCGAGGTCCCCAGCCAGGGAGCCTAAAAGGACCTATGTGACCCAGACTCCTGGTTGGGGTTTTCACACCCTGACACCAGGTCTTAGCTTGACCACCTTTGGCTTTATTTCACCCACTACCTGCTTCGGCAAACATCGCTTNCGCTTGCCATGGGATTTTCTGATATCTGTTAGACGAGAAGTTTAGAAACACCATATACCGAAAAAGCTCGATGGCTCAGTATGACGGTTTTCTCAGCCCTTGCTATGGACTGTAAATAACAAACGTGAATAAGAGGACGATGAGTAGCAACCGAAAATAAGACATTAATTAATTGATTCTTTCTGAGAATCAATAATAAGCGCTGACTTATCATAGAAAACTACCTGTAACAAAACTTTTAGTGCATTATTCATTTATTTTTCAATTATTCTTTTCAGTATCGGTTTTTATAACCATTAGTTTTGTACTCCTGTTTTCAGACTTCGCATTCTTTTAGGCTCAATGAATGGAATCAAATGGATTCGGGGATAAAATAAATGATTGTTTGTGTGTGTGCAAAAATAAATAGATACATACGCGTCGACAACTACGGAGATAGTTTCACTCTCTCCTCTCCTCTCTCTCTCTCTCTCCTAACTCTATGTCACAGCTGTCTTGATGGGGGATTTCTGCAGTTCCCTCACTGAGACCCCAAGGATTAGTTTTCGAATATGGAGTTTGCCCGTACTACTAACATGACGGTTTGACCGACTATGTCACCGCTGGTTGAGCTGATCCCGACACGTCTCATCACAACGCGGAGGGGAGCAAGTCCACTGGTCAACGATTGCACTGGTACACCGGTTTATGAATCGATTCCTGTTAAATTCAACAATCAACCTATTAACAGACGAAAAAGGCATTGTGATTAAACTGTCCACAGGCTGAGCTCAGGTGAGATTGCCTTCTAAGTTGCTCTGCGCTTGTTTGACTGGAGTCGGCAGATTAAACTTTATTCTAACCTCGAATATTAAACTGAACTACAAATCGTCCTTATCCCGGGAAAGGTTCTCTTTCGCACCTCCAAATGTTCGTCCATATTTCTTTCTATTCTCTCTTTTTCTCTCCCTGTATCATCTTTGCATGGTCTCCAACCGGTATAGAAATGAAAAGGATTCCGATAAATCACTTCGGAATTTCAGCGTGTCATTACGTACTGGTCAAATAACCGAGACATTCGTTCAACACTCGCGTAACTGGTATTCGTTTTGTAGGTAGAGACAAAAGCAAAATTTGAATGTTTTGTTCAGCTACTGAAATAAAACACACCTATAACTTTTCTTTGAAGTTACATATTGGTTTCCCGTTTTATGATACCCTGTTCTGAGACACACACACACACAGAGATAAAAAAGTGAAGTCGATATCGACGAAAATTTCCCATCGATCGCTGCACTGTCGTAGTTCAATGTTCAAAACTAGATCGATACAGTCATGCGTGCGAAGAGCTTTCTTTATGCGTAATTGGAATTGCGCGCCAAATAGGGGGCGAATCAATGCACTTTCGTGTACAAACGGACAGTGTGCAGTAACGGGGTTGGATCAATACCAATATTAACGGATAGAACAAAGTACAGTAGGTGCAATGTGCATTGAGGCGGTTAAAAGATTCGAAAGTGCATGTCCAAATAGTTGACTAGAAGAAGAGCTATTGTTTGAAATGTCATGAGAAAAACAGTGTATGGACCAAGTGTGAGCGATGGACGTAAGATGAGTACTGACTAACAGAGCTCCGTAAATGGGAATAAAAAGACAGAATTTACGGTAACTCCAACTTCCATGAGAGTTCCGAATTGAATGGTGACAAGAGTACAGGATAGCAAAGTATCTTGTCTTAGGTGCTATAAAAAATGGTTAATTATAGCTGATTTTGCAATTACAGAAAATGACAGTAGAAGGGGTAGTACGCAAACATACCATTGTTCAAATCACATTAGTCGGTAGATATGAAGACATTGTGTGTAATTAAGTGGTTAAAATATCAGAAACCCCGGTAACTTCTTAGTTCAGGTGGTGGAGTGTACTGTTGAGGTGGTGTCCATGGGTGGGCTCGAATCCCACCGAAGCTACGGGCCTATCCATGATTAGAATAAACGAAAAGAAACGTCTTTTTCATAAAGATTATTGTTTGACACACAGTCTGGATTCAGATGTGTGTGAAAATATACAAATATAAAAGGAAAGGTGAATGAAAGAACGATGTCATTAAATCGGTATGTCGGGGAACGATTAGTTTTTCTGTACCAAACAACCGGAATGAAAAAAAAGAAAATATCTTTTTACTTCCTTTTTCTATTTATGGAATATACAAATGTACAGTCAACTTTCAGGAAAGCGGCTGCGGCCTTGTAAAGGCTGCCTGGGGAAAATACAGTTGTAGGGAAGACGGGCGGGGGTGGAGCGGTTTGAACCCGGGACACCCAGGTCACTAGTTGGTGACCTAACCACTTGGCCACCACCGCATTGCAATTAAGTTACAAGATGGCGTATTCCTGATAATTAGAGTAGGTTTGCTAACCTTGAGAATGGCTTTTCAGCATTCCAAACTCATCTGTACGTATTGTCATGCGATGCTCGTATAGTTATTCAGCCATTAAGGACTGTTTCTCCTGCATCTTGACAAACACTCAAATCAATAATTTACTCACAGGTCAAATATAACGAGTGATATATTATTCTTGTGTTTCTGGCTATTACTACAATTGGCTGGATACCGCTGTGTGGAGTGGATCAGGAAGTACTACAGAGCTGTATAGTATGGATTTGTTTGCATTTGTAAGAGAACTGTACAAGTTGTATTCTACCATCACACCGGTTGGAATGAGTTAAATCAATATTTTATCATAAGATCACATCCACGACCGGAGAGTGAAGATCAGACAAAAGGTTTTTTGACTGAATCTCCACAAGATCCCAGTGGCAGAAACCATTGCAGCACGATTACATGGCAGCTTACTCATCTCATTTCCATTTTCACGATCTACCGTTCAACCTTTTTCTGACCAAGAATGGACTCTGTTTTTTAGAACAAACACCCTATTTGATCCCAATATTTTAACGAAGTTTTTATGTTTGTATCAAGGGGTTTATCAATCAACATCGACAAGTTCGAATGACCTTCAAGGTAAGAAAGTTTGATGCTACGAAAACGAGGATGAGTACCTGTCAGTTCGGAGTAGTAAAGCGATTCAACAGATGCTCAAAAGTAATTCGTTTGAGGAAATCACTGAGTATCAGACATCAATTCACTTCAAAAATCGTCAGCCCCTTCAATTAAATGTTCCTTATTCTAACAAGTTGAGAGCATGTTTCTCGGGCGTCAGAAGCTATTATCCTTTCAAACATAATTTTGTCCTAGGGATCTTTCTCGGAATTCTACCCGGTTTCGAATATCGACCGTCGATAGACAAAACACAGTAGTGCAATTGATTCTAGAAAACATACATCGTGGGCCAGGGTACATTGGATAGTACATTACATATATATATATATATATATATATATATATATATGTATATATATATATATATATCTCACAACTCAAAGCCATAAACTCAGACTTCCATACTTAGTTGCTGACCTCGAAACTTCGTGCTGTCCGTCCACGATAAACAATCCACACATGAGTTGGCTACTTACATCACTACTTCCGTGTGTGTACAGTGCTTTAAAGTCATCGTAGTGATGAACTCCTTGGTGCAGCCTTGTGGCATTGTTTCCAATTACCTTCTCAAAGTCTCTCCGAGATTATTAAGTCCGGAATTTGTTTTGGTCAAATTGAGATCAGATGAAAAAGCTTTCCAAAGAAGAAAAAGACAATCACAATACGAGGATGATTTGGTCTGACTTTGTCACCTTACAAGCTACATTGTCCGATTTTGCGTATTTGAGGGAACAGTGATGGAAAAAGAGGTGCGCTCATTTCTTTGCTTACATCGAAAGTTTTTCGTTTGGTGTCGTAAAACGCTGCTCACAAAACAATCTGATTGGGCAGCAGCACAAATAAAAGATGGCTATGCATTTCATGACGTCATCTATGCATAGGTATGAAACCATCTGTGAAGTCAATCAGCATTTCTGAATTACTCCGAACCCTCCTCGACATTTCAAGAGTCACTCTATGATAGACCCAGTTGGGTTTACAGAACATGGCAAACAAAACCGTTACCCGAAAATGCATGCTTGCTCGAACTGTAAACTGAATACGATACAATTCATGAACAATCATTAAGTAATCTAGTTGTTAAAACGTTAGATTCTCCAGTAAGATTTTAGCCCACCACCGCGCACGGTAAAACATTGTGTACGATCTATTCACTGATTTGCGCAGTCACATCTACCGTTACGATCCGTTCACATTTGGCCGCTCCCTCAACTTAGGAGCGCTGGTGAATAAAAACAGCAATTAAGTAAGGTGACTGGCAAGACAGGTTTTCCATTCACCAAAAAAACTAAAATTATCACGAATTAATAAGAAAACAAGCATTCTGTTCAATCGAATGATAACTAATGCAAACAAATTGAAGCATTGACGGCATCGACGCGCGATGTGTGATTTGACGGCTGATGCAAAACCAACGGTCTTTTATTGTAGTTGAATCAAAAGACCACTGTCTCTCTCAGCCCTATCCATGACTAGCAACAATAGCTTTGAGCAAAAACAAGTCTAATCACGTATTTGCAATAATTCTGCATTTTACGCTTGGGCTTCCGTTGCTATTTTCTTCGAGAAACCCAACTGGTCGATTAGTGAACAGAACGGTAGAAATAAGTAACGAAGGAGAGAATTTAGACTAACTGATTGTGCTCAGAAATATTCATGTCAATGTGTATTCTGAAGAAAAATGATATGCCCGAAAATTAATCACCAAATCAGTCTTCATCTTAATAGAGTAATCATTACCAACCTTTTAATATCACCCAGTCGGATTGCGTTTCTCGCGATTCCAGCATTGCATAGTGACAAATGTNCCCGCCACACTGTGTCTTCTTCGTCCGGCAAACAAAGCCATGGCTCGTTGAGCTTATCCGGTCGTGCGCGCACTTCCTCGGACAACGCGAGATCTCCCTTGGTTCCCACCATACCTCGTTCCATAACCCCCTCCTCTTCCGGATCATCTAGATAACCGTTAGTTCTGGGTTCCACTTTGGTCAATGCGCGCTCGAAATGCATTAAGGCGTTCATAAAATCCCCTATGCATTCCATCTCCAAGGCGTATTCGCGGCAAATCATGGGAATCTCTTGGGGAGCCAACTTTCTTGCCAGTTGTAGGGCAGAGTCCCAATGGAGCAGATCACGCCGCATCTGAGACAGGATGCGTTTGAGAGAGAGAATACGGGAATTTCAGCAAAGAGGTTCGAAACTTATCGCAATGTATGATGATTCACAATGAACCAGTTGTTATCATGTTGTCAGTACGTGAATTTGTGGGATGAAGAAGCAGTGGTGGGCGCGCTACAATAAAGCAAAACGAAAACAACCAGAAAACGAAATCAAACAGTCAGCGTAGGTTCCACCTAACCGTTTGAACCTCGATTGAACAATCGAAGAAACTCAATGTCCTTTAAGCACTCAAATCAGATGAATGTTGGATCATTCTCACACGAATCTGTTCTTCATCACTCAGCATATCACCGCATCTCTATGTCTACCTAATAGTCGACACCGAAGACGATCAAGAGTGCCTGGTGCCTCCTAACAGTCGAATGGGCTAATCCAAGCTTGCTACCGTAACATTGATTCAGCCATTTGCACAAGGTGATGACTGTCGACCGTGTAGCTCAGGGGTAAGGGTTTAAAGTCCCAACCCGAAAGTTCGCGGTTCGAGTCCTGACAGGGATACAAAAAGTACGCACTGCTGACGAATCCCAAACAGAACGAAACAGCTGATCAGTGCTCTTTGTCGGTTTTCACAAACATTTCCATCGCATACAAATGATTGTACTCTCAATTAAACGAGAGAAACGGACAGTAATTTGAGAGCTTAAAACTTTGCATCAAAACTGCAGCTCAAAAACGTTTCTGAAATTTCAACGTCCTCATTCCAAGTGAAACAAGAACTGCCCATAACTGATCAAGTTGGTCCAACCCCAGATTTGTCAATCTTTGTCAATCGGCCACGGCTACATATCCGATCTACTTCAGACATACACCGCCAAATAATGGCTGTCTGGTTTTTTGTAACCCCATGACCTTTGACCGAACCCAATGTACGAGGGGAGGGGGATGCTGATTTGTGTTGGATGATTCATGTTTAGTATCAAGCGACTCATGGTTGACTGCTAGCTGCCGCGTTCAGCACTGGTACCCATTGCCCATGTAGCATTGATGTAACGTCAAAAGATCCTATTGGGTAAAGTTAACGAATGGGACTTGGTATCATTCTTGCTTCGAGTCGAATCGCAAGCGAGTTTGAAATAAACACAGTTACCGCTCTGATTTCACTTCATTAAAAAAGAAAACTTATGTGGGCAGAAGTGATATTGGCCATCGATGTCGTGTGTTCTCTTTAGTCCTAAAAACCTACTTATACAAGCATGTCACACGAAGAACAATACAAGTTGAAACGAATAATAAATGGGTTACTTAGTCACTTCATCATCGAATAGAGAGATAGAATGGCATTATGTTGCAAACCTCTAACGCAGCAGTTGGACGGGATGAGGCCAGGAACAATTCTTGAGCCTGATCGAATTCTTTGAGAAGCATTGCAACATATCCGGTCAATAGGAATTCATCTTCGATTCCTTGAATTCGTTGTACAGCAAGGACCAAACCGGGATGATTGCTTCG